TATAGAGGATCTCCTTGCTTAGCAGCGATGCTTGGCACCCCATAGAGATAAGTTGCAAGGACTACCATGAAGGGCGTGAAGGGTGGCCTACTTCATCCTCAGAGACCACAAGGTGAAGCATGTTGTGTACCCGACTGCCTGGATGAACCAGCTCCCACTCTTGGCAGCCATTGAGATATATATTCATTTTTAAATGATATTAAAGAGTACCAAATTTCCCCCTTAAAAACTTTGATTTCACTTTACAGCCCCAGTAATACAGTATGAGTGCCTCTTTTTTCATCCTTTGGTCAATGCAAGATAGAATAATCTTTTGAGCCTGGGCACGTTGGTTCACATCTGTAATCCCAGCATTTTGGGAGGCCGAGGCTGGCGGATAGGTTGAACTTATGAGTTCGAGACCTGCCTGGCCAACATGGTGAAACCTCGTCTCTACAAAAAATACAAAAATTAGCTGGATGTGGTGATGCATGCCTGTAGTCCCAGCCACTCGGGGGGCTGAGGTGGGAGGATGGCTTGAGCCTGGGAGGCAGAGGTTGCAGTGAGACAAGATTGTGCCGCTGCACTCCAGCCTGGGCAACAGAGCCAGACCCTGCCTCAAAAAAAAAAAAAAAAGAAAAGAAAAAGAATAATCTTTTGAATTGTTGCCAGTCTTATGCAGGTGAGAAATGATAGCTATCTCATTGCTTTGGTTTGCATTTCTCTCTCACTAATGAGACTGAGCATCTTTTGAGATGTTCGCAGGCCATTTTTCTTTGTTCTTCTGTGAATCACCTGTCTATATCCTTTGCACATTTTCAGTAGTGATTGCTTTTTTCTTATTGATATACGATAGCTGTTTACTATGGATACAATATAAGTAGTTTTGTATTTAAAAATTGTGAGAGCCAAGTACAATGGTGCACACCTGTAGTCCCAGCTTCTTAGGAGGCTGAGACGAGAGGACTGCTTGAGGCCAAGAGTTTGAGTCCAGCCTGGGCACAATATAACAAGACCCTGTCTCTTGAAAAAAAAATAAAAGAAGCAAAAGGAAGGATTTTAAAAGCTCATGTATTGATACCTTTTTTTCCTCTAGGTGCTCCAGCGCCTGAGTTGTATGGCCATCAAGGGAGATATGTTCTTGGTGGCCAATCTTGGGACAAAGCAGCCTTGTCATAGCAGTGACCCAGGGTGCCCAAATGATGGGAGATACCAGTTCAACACAAATGTCGTGTTCAGCAATAAGGGAACCCTTGTTGACCGCTACCGTAAACACAACCTGTACTTTGAGGCAGCGTTTGATGTTCCTCTTAACGTGGATCACATCACCTTTGATACCCCCTTTGCTGGCAGGTTTGGCATCTTCACGTGCTTTGATATATTGTTCTTTGACCCTGCCGTCAGACTCCTCAGAGACCACAAGGTGAAGCATGTTGTGTACCCGACTGCCTGGATGAACCAGCTCCCACTCTTGGCAGCCATTGAGATTCAGAAAGCTTTTGCTGTTGCCTTTGGCATCAACGTTCTGGCAGCTAATGTCCACCACCCAGTTCTGGGGATGACAGGGAGTGGCATACACACCCCTCTGGAGTCCTTTTGGTACCATGACATGGAGAATCCCGAAGGTCACCTTATAATTGCCCAGGTGGCCAAAAATCCAGTGGGTCTCACTGGTGCAGGGAATGCAACAGGAGAAACGGACCCATCCCATACTAAGTTTTTAAAAATTTTGTCAGGCGATCCGTACTGTGAGAAGGATGCTCAGGAAGTCCACTGTGATGAAGCCACCAAGTGGAACATGAATGCTTCTCCCACATTTCACTCTGAGATGATGTATGACAATTTCACCCTGGTCCCTGTCTGGGGAAAGGAAGGCTATCTCCACGTCTGTTCAAATGGCCTCTGCTGTTATTTACTTTACGAGAGGCCCACCTTATCCGAAGAGTTGTATGCCCTGGGGGTCTTTGATGGGCTTCACACAGTACATGGCACTTACTACATCCAAGTGTGTGCCTTGGTCAGGTGTGGGGGTCTTGGCTTCGGCACCTGTGGACAGGAGATCACAGAGGCCACAGGGATATTCAAGTTTCACCTGTGGGGCAACTTCAGTACTTCCTATATCTTTCCTTTGTTTCTGACCTCGGGGATGACCCTAGAAGTCCCTGACCAACTTGGCTGGGAGAAGGACCACTATTTCCTGAGGAAGAGTGGGCTGTCCTCCGGGCTGGTGACGGCAGCTCTCTATGGGCGCTTGTATGAGAGGGACTAGGAAAAGTACGTGGTCTGTGGGGCGGACTCTGGCCATCATGGTGACAGCCTTGCACTTCCACAGGCTACAAGCCCTGGGACCACCTTTCTGCCTTAAGGGCAGGAGCCCGCTTCTGTGGCACCAGATTCCACCCTGGGAACTGTGGAACAAGTAGGAGAGGCAGATTCCCTCAGTGTCTTCCTCTTAAACCTCAGTCATCGAGACATTAGCTGCTATTTTCTATTCACATTTATCTTTTTCAAGCCACATCTTCCTCTAACAAATCTCTCAGTATGCAATTGGTCTCAAGCTAAAACAAAAATAAATGTCAGTTTCTATTTTACACATCCACAAGGTAGTGGCTTGGGTTTTTGTTGTTGTTGTTGTTGTTTTTAATCTTGTTGATCAAGTGACTTACCCAGGACATGTAAATATTTCATAAGCCTTAAACATTTTCTGAGGTAAGAAACAAGCTCTCAAAGCAAAAGCTCGATTAGAAATGGCCCCTGTGGGGAAGTTTCCCATTCTGGCCAACCGGAACTCTATCCAGATGAAATGGCAATGCTAGCGCCACCGGCAGCGTCAGAAATGTAGACCTTAAAGCGGCTTTTAAAAATAGAAAAGAAGTGTTCCTCACATCTGCCAGTAATGGAATTTTCTGTCAGTAAATGGAATGTGTAGGCAGGACCTGGAATAACTGGAGAGAGTGCAGCGCTTCGGGGTGAAGGGCGGGTGGGGACTGGAAAATGTTGAGATGGGGGCAGCCATGGGAAGGTATGAGTAATAGAATTCTTTCTGTACAACACAGCTCATCCGGGGATTCCAGGGACCTTAATAAATCACAGTAGCTTTGGGCAAGAGTTGGGCACGTTGCCTGACTGTGCAGGATGGCTTGATGCTGGTATCATTTGATCCGGAGCCCTATAGAGGATCTCCTTGCTTAGCAGCGATGCTTGGCACCCCATAGAGATAAGTTGCAAGGACTACCATGAAGGGCGTGAAGGGTGGCCTACTTCAGTCATGCATGTATTCAATCACCCAACAGGCACAGAGCAGGAGCTTCCCATGTCAGGAATTCCAGATGCAAAATTACCAGATTGAATATGGTGAAGACATTTTTAGGCCACTGGTTTCTGTGTAATTTGTGTCCAACATTTCAGAGCCATTTTAAAAAGGATTTTGACTTCATGCCTAGTAGCTGTTTCAGATTATTTTTTAAGTGCAGAATGGATAATTAGTCTTCAGTGATTTGCCTCTTAAATGTGGCCATTTAGTTTGAACCCCTTTTTAGTTTTTTAAACAGTATGTGCTTAAACATCACACAATTTTATAAAGCAAGAAAAAAAATGAAACGAACTCCCTATTCCCCCCCGGTGTAGGCCTTCAGATCCTTTTCTGGCTTTTAGGCAGGATAATTAACAACATGGATTCTACGGTCAGACTGATGGGGTTTCCATCCATGGCCTCACCATCTACCCCTCACTGGGAGACCTCGGGCCTCAGTTTTTTATTCGTAGAATGCATGTTGAATAAACCATGTGGGAAAAAGCAGAGCCAGCACCAGCCCCTGCTGACTCACTGATCCCTCGAAAAGGTCTGGGATGAGTCAAGTCTTCAGGGAATAAGCAGGAAGGACTTGAAATTCCTGAGCAAGCCCCGGGTTCCCCACGCCCTAGGAAGTCCCTCTGGAAGGGGAGCAGGACCTCTCCCATCAAATGGCAGAGTTCGCTTTCCCGCCCAGTGCAGCTCCCACCAGGCGTGAGCTGGCAGGCCGGAAGCGGCCCCAGATGTGGCTGTCCGCCGCCCACTCTGCTTCTCTGCCTCAAACCCCAGGGAGACAGAAATTCCCTAAAAATGCATATCATTGCTTTATGCCAAGATGATTCAAATAAGCCTGAGAAAGAGAGGCCAGTTCTAAATACAGACTTGGCAGAACTACTTCACCCAGTAAACATCTAAAAAGCACCTGCAAGATCCTAATTCCGCCCTTCTGGGCAGAGTACCACGAACTTTCCCTGAGTTATTTTCTACCGACAATTTAGAATGAATTGCTCGTGAAGTAGAATGAGGGGAAAAGCAAATAATGGTGGTAGAACAAAGTAATTTTTACAATTCAAAGAAGTGGCTGCCAGCTGACAGAACAAAGTAGAGGATGGGAAAATAAATCATTTTCAGGGAAAAAATACACCTATGACTAATGGTTGTGATACGCTTTCGTCGATTGTGGTCCTGAAATGCAGGAAGCAAATGGCAATCTTGACCACAACATGGAGACAGGAAATCAAATGCATTTTTGGCTAAACCAGTCTTGGGGGAAGTAGCTTGGTTTGCGTGGTTTCTCATGTAGGTGCAGCTGTGCTTTTCTGTGGTTTTTCTCACACGGGAAGTGAGAGGCACAGTGAGCTGTATTCACACTGGATTTAAAAACCCTGTTCTTAGAGAGGAAAAAACCATGCCTCCTCACAGACTGCCAAGTCCCAGAGCCCACCACGTCCGCTCCCAAGACACAGGCCTGTTGAGAGCCCCTGCTGAGGAAAACCCACCTAGGCCACTTTTCCCCACAGGTGGCCCTGCTTGGTATCTGAGCCCCCAACCCCCAGCCATGGCGTATTGAACCAGGAGGAGGCACCTGGAGGTGTCCCAGCACAGCAGATCTGCTCAGAGAGGACCGGCGGTGAGTTAGTCGCTCCGATTCTCAGTGAAACCCGGAACTGCTCAAGTGAAATGACCACTCAAAGAAGAATTTCTCAACAAAGTGGGTTTATATAGGACAACATAGAAAGGCATAAAAGTATGAAATGTATTGTGCACAAAGGCCTAGATTTGAGAGAAGAGCTGATGTGGCCTGAAGATCTGTGAGTAGGACTGCTTGGGGGACCATGTTGCTTCTCAGGCCAGAGAAAGGTCCTGGTCTGCTGGCTTCAGTCTTTCACTCCCTAACCCCCCTTTGAATGTTAGTTACCTATTCCCACAGAACAAACTGCCCCAAAACTTAATGGCTTAAAACAAGCATGGACATTGTTAATTCACCCAGTTTTGTGGGGCAGGAAAACGGGTCTCTCAGGAGGCTACAGTCAAGATGTCAGCCAAGGCTGCAGCTGGTTGAAGGCCTCACTGGATTTGGAGAATATTATTAGTTGAATAGTGTTTTCCCCTAAAAAGATACGTTGTGATCCTAACCCCTAGTAGCTCAGAAGGTGGCCTTATTTGGAAATAGGGTCTTTGAGGATGTGATGAAGATGTAAATTAAGATGAGGTCACACTAGAGTAGGTGGGCCCTTAATCCAATATGACATGTCCTTGTCAGAAGAGGAGAAGACACACACACACGTGACAACAGGAGCAGAGATCACAGGGATGCCTCTACCAGACAAGGCACACCAGAAATTGTTTGCCAACAAACACCAGAAGTTACAAGAGGCAAGAAACGACCCCACACACACAACCAACCCCTGAAGGTTTCAGAAGCAGCATGGCTCTGCCAACACCTTGATTTTGGATTTCCAGCTTCCACAACTATGAGACAATATGTTTCCGTTGTTTGAAGCCACCCAGTTCAGGGTAACTTCGATATGGCAGACCTAGGAAACAAATACAGAGGATCACTTGCAAAATGGCCCATTCTGGCAAGTTGGTGCTGGCTGCTAGCAGAAGGTCTCAGTTCCTCACCACATGGGCCTTTCCATAGGGATAGCTGAGTGTCCTCACGATGTGGCCCCTGGCTTCCCCTGAAGCAAGTGATCCAAGAGAGCACAGGTGGAGCCATGATGTCTTCCATGATCTAGTCTCAGAAGTCACACTGCAACATTTGGCACCATCTTATTGAGTTACACAGGTCAGCCCTGCTCCCTGTGGAAAGAGACAGAGGGTGTTAGATGCCCAGAGGTGAATCTCATTGGGTACCATCTGGAGATGGGCTACCACTCTGCTCAATCCAAATCACAGCTCTCCTGTTTCTCACCTCCCAACAGTTCCTGTTCCTCAGGCCGAAGTTCACATTCTGCACAGCCTCAGCTCCGCCTGACCTCTGAGCTCACATGATGTCCCTTACTATGAACCTGGGTCTCTGGTCCAGCCATAGCTACTTCTTTAAGCTCCTCCAGTGTTCTGAGCACAATCTGGCACCTGTACTGTTGTCTGCTTGAAATGACGTCTTCTGATGAACACGCATCCATCCTTCAAGGTCTACTCTGTCATCACAGCTTGTGACTCTTCCCCTTATTGAACTGGTGTTTCCCATTCCCAGTTCCCAGAGCCCTTTCTCATTGAACTATTTATCTGAGTTCTCACTGCTGGAACGTGAGCCATGGCGAGAGTAGCCACCTAGCAGTGAGTTACGGCTCTGTGCTGGATGCACATAAATGGTCTCCCTTAACCTCCATGAGCCCTAAAGAAGGTTTGCTACAGCTATTTTGCAGATGGAGAAAATTAACAGAGAGATATTAATGAATTGCTCACATGCAAACATGTGATGAGTCTTGGATTTGCATCTTCTTTATAGTGACTCCACGGAGACCCACCGTCTAAGACCAGAGCCAGTGCCCTATTCATCTTTTGTCTTTGCAAAAACAACAAAACATTATTTCCCTTTGGAAAGTTTTTTTGATTTTTGTGTTTAGTACTGAAGTAAAACAAAATCTGAATAACAGCTGCACCATTAAAAATGAAATTCCCAATATCTGAACTCTAGAGCATCACTGCCTATATAATTTTTTCATAGACTTACACTATTTATTCTGCATTTCCTTCTCCTTCTCCTCATCCACCTTTCTCTTAATCTCTCACTATACCTCTCTTTTTTCAGAAAAAAAGAAATTACTCAACCAATATATATACCTTACACAGAGACATATAAGAGAGAATGAATAGAGGATACATGATAAGATATATATAATACAAAACCAAAAAAAAAAAACCGCACTCTTCTTATCATCATTTTCGCCCACAGAGCAGACTCTCCATGTAGTTGCGGACAATGGCCATGACAAGTTTCTAGACTGTCTTTTCAGCAACTCCAGAGAAGAAGTCCCCTAATAAAAGTCTCAGGGCTGAAAAGCTGGCTCTTGCTTAGGGCACATGCCCTCCTGACTCATGATTGGCCAGAGGGCTGTGGTACTTTTTTGTTTTTTTCTTTTTTTTTTTTGGGATGGAGGCTCACTCTGACACCCAGCGCTGGAGTACAGTGGCGCAATCTCTGCTCATTGCAACCTCCACCTCCCTGGTTCAAGCAATTCTCCTGCCTCAGTCTCCCCAGTAGCTGGGATTACAGGCACCTGCCAACAAGCCCGGCGAATTTTTTGTATTTTTATAGAGACAGAGTTTCACCACGTTAGCCAGGATGGTCTCGATCTCCTGGCCTCGTGACCTGCCCACCTCGGCCTCCCAAAGGGCTGGGATTACAGGCGTGAGCCACCGCACCCGGCCAGGGCTGTGATATTCTGATTGGCCAGCACTGAGTCACATGGCCACCATCAGGGTGAGGGATGATACGCTTAGCTCTGACCTGAAATTCAAGGATTGAGGGGTGGGGGCTGTTTCGCAGGGAACACTGGGACAGCGTTACCAGGGGAAAGACTACGGTCTTTTGGACCGTAGTCGGTCCAAAAGAGTAAATGTCCATGGGATTTTTTTCCTCTGAGCAGAAATTTCACCGGGATTCAATCAGGTATTGCTGTCGTCGAGGCCATGGCAGGAGGGAGACAGCAAATCTTGATTAGTTGAGGAGAGCTTAAGAACAGAGTGATTTACACAGGTGTGGGCAGGATGTAGGGGAACCCGGAAAGGATAATGCACTACCCAGGGGCTAGTGAGAGCAGGAGCTATGAGCGCCCCAGGCCTGAAGGTGTGAAGGGCTGAAGTGGTTACCAGAAGCGGGAGAGGGAAGCTTATGGAGACAGCAGCCTGGCGGGAGCAGGGGCTGTGAGAGACACAGCCAGACCGTAGTGGTGTGACAGGTGGAGATCCGGGCGATCCATATCCTGTCTCCTCTCTCTTCTCTTCTCTGCTCCGGACTCCTGCTGCGACTTACCCCTGGCTGGACCCAACAGGAAAGCAGAGGACAAGATAATCTGGTTGGTGCTATCTAGAAGTCAGTGTTGGGGGTCACAGAACAGAATGGAGAGGGGTAGAGCATGCAGGGAAGACAAATGCAGCCCTGGCATGGTTCTTCCAGAACATTCTGCAAGCTCATAAACCAGTTCATTTGAGAAGAAATAGAGGAGTTAGGGGAGAGAGAAGCTTCTTCATGAACATAAAGACTTGGTAGCTAGTCTCAAGATCAGCCCCCAGTGCTCCCCACCTGCTGGGACCGGTTATGTAACACTTCCCACATTTTTCTGGGGTCGTTTTGTGTAGCCAGTAAAACATGGCAGATGCGATGGCATGTTACTTCTGAAATTGGGTTATAAAAGATACTGCAGGCCGCGCACGGTGGCTTACGCCTGTATTCCCAGCGGTTTGGGAGGCCGAGGCTGGCGGATCACAAGGTCAGGAGTTCACGACCAGCCTGGCCAATGTGGTGAAACCCCGTCTCTACTAAAAATACAAAAATTAGCCGGGCGTGGTGGCACATGCCTGTAGTCGCAGCTACTTGGGAAGCTGAGGCAGAAGAATCGCTTGAACCCGGGAGGCAGAGGTTGCAGTGAGCTGAGATTGCTGAGATCACACCACTGCCCTCCAGTCTGGGCAACAGAGAGACACTCCATCTCCAAAAAAAAAAAGATACTGCAGCTTCTATCTTGGTTGCTCACTTGCTATCTTGGGTCCCTCCCTCTGAGGAAAGTCAGTTGCCGTCTCTCAAGGATCCCAACGGACAGGCCCATTTGGCAAGGAACAGCCACCAGCTAGTTGCACGAGTGAGCCGTGTTGGAAGTGGATCCTCCAGCCGCAGTCAAGCTTCCAGATGACAACTGCCCTGGGAAATGACTGTAGCCTCATGAGAGACCCTGAGCCAGAACCACCCCATGAAGTCACTCTTGATTTCCTAAGTCTCAGAAACTGTAAAATATAAATGTGTGTTGTTTTAAAATTCTAGGTTTTGAGGTAATTTGTTATACAGCAATAGATAAGTAATACGATAATCTTGCTACCAGCGCCTTAATCTCCCACATCAAAGTTAAAATTCATCCAACACTCAATCTCCCAGCTATGCTGACTGCTCCTAATCAGGTATCTCTCCCACTATATATATATATATAGTGCTATTAGTGGCTATTATTTGTTGGGTTTCACAAAGCCAGAAATCATCTACATCTACTCTCTTTTCTTCTGGTTTTGAATAGCAAAATGCAGCAGGGAGATGTTCTCAGAGGCAGAACAACAAAAAGAAGGGTCCATGCTGAACAGAACTTGGTTGCTTTGAAATCGGAAGTTCTAGAGGAGGTATTCTGACAGCGGCCACGAAAATCTCCTGCCCCCAGAATTTTGTCTAACCCACCCCAGACAGAGTTATCCAACAGCCTGGTATGGTACAGACCAGGAGCTCTCAAAAGGTAGGCCCCAGGCAGCAGCACCAGTAGCACCTGGCAAATTGTTGGAAATGCAAATTCTTGGGCTCCACCCCAGATCACCTTAATTGGACTCTCTGGGAGTAGGGCCCATCAATCTGTGTTTAGCAAGCCTTCCAGGTGATTCTGATCCTAATCAAGTGTGAGCCCACTGTCTAATGCGGCGCATACCAAAGCGGGTGCACGGGTCTTAATCATCACCTTAGTCCTCTGAAACAGGCAAGTGTGTCCATTTTACAGAAGAAGGAACTAAGGCCTGGAAGGGAAGTCATTGCCCGAGACTAAACAGAATCCCAGCAACATAGGGCAAGCCTGGAATTCCCACCCCGGACCAGTGCACAGCCAGTGCTTCCACATCGCCAGCCCAGAAATGTTTTCTCTCCGCATCATGCTCATTTTCAACCCTTTCTGGGTGACTCATTCATCATCCAAATATATTATTTGTGTTTTGTTTGACTAAAGGCAATTACATTTACATTTTCTCAAAGTACTGGAATGTAATGGGTGAAATTCCTACCAGTGATCTGGAAGAACTCTAAGGGTCTAAAGTGATTCTTTCATAATTAAAGATATGATGATGTATAATGTGATTTGTAAGATAAGGTATAACTTTGGGGGTGTTCTAATTCTTTAAAAATTGTTGATCCAACTATGGATGTCTTGCAACTCTCAAAAAATCATGTGTGAAAATTAAGCATTAGTTCCGTGTAAAATACAGTGCTAGAAACCGTGGAGGATGCAAAGTCGCAGAAGACTGTTACTGTTTTTTAAAATTGATTTTTTAAAAATAGAGACAGGGTTTCGCCATATTGGCCAGGCTGAATCTCAAGTGATCCGCCTGCTTCAGCCTCCCAAAGTGCTGGGATTACAGGCATGAGCCGTCGCGCCCAGCCAAAACTGTCACCTTTAGAGAGAGCTTATTATCACCTAGTGTTCATGTAAACACAGGATTTAAATACACACATACCCCCCAAAACAAATTGCTAAAGGGTATTTGTGCACATTTTATTTTTCCAGATGGCTACCACAATATTTGAAGAACTAACAAGTTTAAAAATGTAAAAGGCCAGTAAGGCAACATTGGGCACTGGGGCAAGTGAAGGGGAGGGAAGAAGCATGAAGTCAGGGGAGGGGGCAGTGGCTAATTCTGCAGGCTCTGCAGGCTGGGGGCAGAGTTAGGGTTTATGTGGGCAGGCAGCATTGCAGGGGATTAGGCAGGGGAATAACATGGTCATTTAAAATGATTCTTCTGACTGATGACAGGTTTTCAGATGCTTCATCTCCTCCTCCAGTCACACCTCGTGTCCAAGCCATGAGGACTCACTGAGGGGAACGTAATAAATAGTAATTTAAGGGAAAAAATAACAATTAAAAAATCTATAACAGCAGTTTAAGGGACAAAAACCAAAAAATTTATTTGGAATTATTCATGTTAAGCTTAACATTTTCTAATATAGTCCTGCATCCATTTTTTTGTTTTTGAGATGACATCTCGCTCTGTGGCGATCTTGGCTCACTTCACCCTCTGCCTCTCAGGTTCAAATGATTCTCCCGCCTCAGCCTCCTGAATAATAGGCATCTGCCACCACACTTGGCTAATTTTTTTTTTTTAGATGGAATTTTGCTCTTGTTGCCCAAGCTGGAGTAAATGGCATGATCTTGGCTCGCCACAACCTCCACCTCCCAGGTTCAAGCGATTCTCCTGCCTCAGCCTCCCAAGTAACTGGGATTACAGGCATGCACCACCACACCTGGCTAATTTTGTATTTTTAGTAGAGATGGAGTTTCTCCATGTTGGTCACACTGGTCTCAAACTCCCGACCTCAGTGATCTGCCTACCTCGGCCTCCCAAAGTGTTGGGATTACAGGTGTGAGCCACTGTGCCTGACCTGTATCAGTTTTTAAAAGACTGTCAGACACGTCAAAGTCACAGGAGGAAAAACCCCTACATTCATGCACAACAGAAAGGCTTTGTTTTCAGTAAACATGCACATCTTCAAAGAATGGTTGCAATCCAAATTGTTTAGTAACTATTAGAAGAACAAAGAAGGCTGTGTCCTCTGAATTATAATGTGCTTTTCATCTAAATTGCTGCATGTTGGGGATTGAATCATGCTGGGAGTTTGACGTATGTAAGGAAAATTATTAGGTTGATGGAATATAAAGATTCTTATAATAAAAGCCAGTATTTTGGCATTTATAAAT